GTACTTGTTAAGAGGGGTGCATGAGAGGATCGGGTTACTTGGGAGGGGGTGTGGGTTGCTACACCAAAGCAGGTTGTTTCATGGAACAAAAACCTCATATTAATTACCTCTGGCAAAACGGAGCTCACTGTAAGGAGTGTCAGTGACTGCATCTTAGGGACCAGTTACTCTGTTTCCCTCCCATTGGCTGTGTTCTCCGAAGCTCTGTTTCTCTGTCTCTGTCAATTGACTTGTGTGGGCTCTCGTAACTTAGGCTTGCATGTGCCTCTTCATTCTTTACTCCTCTTCTTCCTCTCTTTGCAACTGTAGCTCTACCACTAGTTGGTTTATTTTTAGAATGTTTCTCTTCTTAGGTTCCCAAGAGAGACTAGCCCAGTTCTACCTTCCAGGTCGCACTTAGATTGTCTTTCCTTGGGTGAGGCGCCCAGTCCTTGTTCCACTGGTTCTGATCGGGGCAGAGGAGAGTCATGGTGTCTGATGTGTTTTTCGGAGTAAGGGATACGGGAAAGGTGAAATCTACAATGTAGGGGAAAAGTAGGTTTATGTTTGTTCATATGGAAAATAATACAATGATTAAGAAATGATAATATAAGAATAAACTTTGTGTTTTGCATACTTATGACTGTAAGCCTACTTTTCCCCCACCCTGTATATTAGTCAGTTTGGGCTGTCACAGCAAATACCACAGGCTGGGTGGCTTGAAAACAGAAATTTATTTCCTCATGATCTGGAGGCTGGAAGTCTGCCATCAAGGTCTCGCAGGGGTTGGTTTTTGGTGAAAACTCTCTCCCTGGCTTGTGGATGGCCACTGTGTCCTCACATGGCCTTTCTTTGGTGTTTTCATGTAGAGAGAGGGGGAGGAAGAAGGGAGGGAGGGAGGGAGCAAGTGATATCTGCTCCTTTTCTTATAAGGTCATAGAGGTCTTATCTCCTAATGCAGTCACATTGAGGGGTACAGCTTCAGCATATGAATTTTGGGGGCACATACTTCAGTCCATGGCAGCATTGAGGTACAATGAATGGTTCAGCCTTTTAAACTCTTGATAAGGACAGATTTTGTTTCTAGAGGAGTCATACCGGATATGTTGTTCTTTTTATATTTTCTATCTAGGCGATTGGTATTACCATCCAATCAGTAACTGAAACAGGAAAGCTGGAATTCATGTTAGACTCATCTTTGTTCATTCGTATTGTCAGGTCCCTTTGCTTACAGCTCTTAATTAATTCTTGAATCTATCTCCCATTTTTATTTATTTTTCACTTTCATCACTATTTCTAATAATTGCCTCATATCTGGCCTTTTTCCCATTTCTTTTGCTTCTCATAGGTCTTTCACATGATTGTCAGAGTGTCCTTCGTAAAACAAAGCAACCACATTACTCACTGTACCAAAATAAACTTCAAAGCTAAAATTTAAACTCTACCCTCATCGTGTCTGCTTCTGTCCTTGCTCCTCCTTCAACCTCAGTCCATGTGCAAGAAACTACTTGCAGTTCTTAGAAGGTACGATGCATCCTTGCCTCTGTGTGGAGCGCTCTCTGATCACCCTTTCTGCCCTGAGTCCCATCTGTTCTTTAGGGCCCTGTGCAGGGGTCTCTGAAGCTTTTCCTGTCTCTTCCTTCGGGTGTAGTGTCCTTATGTCATCTTGTATTTTAAGTGCTGGTTTACAATGTTTTTTCTTCCAGTCACTTGGCCTGTTGCTTCCCAGACTGTGTCCTCTAATTTCTCTAATTCTGCCACCTAACCAACATGCCGTTCATGTAGGCTTCCTATGTGCTGTTGAATCAGTAATAAGAGAGCTTGAGTTCTTTTCTAATCCTGTGACCCCCTCAGCATTTTCAATTTGGATAGGTAATTTATCTTTCCACTTTATAAAGGAAGGACAAGACTATTGATCAGTTTCAAGGCAAGGTTTCTTGATACCTGATTGTCTTTAATTTGGGGGAGTAAAATAGTAGACTACTGTTATTGAAGGAATTAAAAAATTCGTAAATGCCAACTGGAAAACAAAAATATTATTCACAAATGCTTTTTTGATCAAGCCTGTAAAAAGGAGGGAGAAGTTCAAAAGAACAGATGCTAAAAAGAGGCTGTGTTTTCTCTTGGATGACTGCGTGATGCTGGTGTCATTTGTCTGCTTTTGGAGCACTAGTTGAGTACTGTTACCCTAGAACTTGAACTTTGACTGAAAGTGTAAGTGGTGTTGTCATGGCCAGGTGAATTTATGACAGAATACTTGCAAATGACTGCAGCCTCCCATTTGAGAGCTAAGTTCAGGTAGTACTGATACAGCTATGAACAAGACAGATGCTAAATTTAAATCCAGTAACAGATGCTGAGCAACTCCGACAGGCCTCAAACCAGCAAGCTCTTTTAAGGTTGTACTCTTATAGTCAGAGTTGTTTAAGAAAACTAGAAAAGCGTATACATTTGGGACAGTTTGTCTTAGTAGTTATTTTTAGTATGACATATTTTCACTTGTTGGTTGCCATGTAATCTGCATTGGGCAGAGTGATTTGTTTAATGTTTCAAGCACTGGTTGTCTAGTACACGAAAGCTGTGCCTACAGATCACCAGTACAACTTGTTGAAACAAGTAAAATTATTAATCAATTATTAAGTTTCTGTTTCTACATAATACTAAGTATCTTATTGGATTTTTATCCTCTGTTGAGGCTGGTGTTGCTGACCCATTTTTGGAAAATCATATGATCACAGCCAAAACCTTTAGAAATTTCTAAGGGATTTGGCAAGTCTGTCATCATGTTCAAGTTTTTCATGAATCAAAAGGTCACGCATGCGTGCACACACACACACACAGAGTTCCATGTATTTGTTTTAGGGACATTAGAGCAGAGAAGACAAACAAACAAATTTTTTTTTATCACTGAAATCCAGAGGAGTAGTGATTTCATCTGGGAGCTAATGTCAGTGACTTACAACTTGAGCCTTAAAAACAAAAACAAAAACCTGTATGATAACAAGACTTTATATGAAAAAGATGAATTCTTTTTTCACGTAACTGACTTGTAGGTGAACTCTTGGACAGCAGTGTTTTTCTTAGTTGGAAACTGCCCGTCCTATACTTTCTTTGCAGACTCCTAAATCACTGGGCCTCTAAATTTCAAGGGTGCCCCCACTCCCCCTCATGCTGATACAGCCTGTCTTTCTGAGTTAACATTTTATAACGGACAGAGAATAGCACCAAATTTTATTGTGTATACCAAGCACTCAGGTATATAATTTTACCCTTTCTGAACTTTAAGAGATTTTCAAGTTCAGAGAAGATAGATGACTTAAACACATGGAGCTACTAAGTGTTCAAGTTGAAATGGTCAGCCTCCTTAATCCATGCTCTTTCGTTGCTACTGTGCTTCCCCTTGGGCAGTTTAATTAAACATACCCACATAGATCTGGGCTTGCTTATGTTGGGGTAGCTCTAGTCTTTAAATGTCATAAGTTAATACTTTTTTGAGAGGGGGAACCTAATTGTATGCTGTTTTACAAAGGAATATTATAGTTTTCTTGTCAGTAAGAATAAAAAATATGACTAGCTTATTTTTAAGATCTCCCTGTGTTTGTCCCCATGAAACCATTAAGTGCCTGATATTGGAATGCTCATCTATATGGTCTCAGCATTAATGCTGAATATATGTTTTATAGTTATGATTTATGCAGTGAGCTGGAAATTGGTATATTTTATTTATCTCATTTATCATAATATACGCAATGAATAAATATGTTTTCTGGGAAACTAGAGTTCAGATGGTAGGCCCCTCGTTCAAGGCCACACCGCTATTTAGGTTTCAGTTCCAGGTTAAAGCCAGTGCTCTCCTGTTGTGACACCAGGGCATGTTTTAAAACAGGTGCCAGCGGCTGAGCTTTTCACTGTTGGAAATGAAGTTGATGGTTTCAATGGTATATTTTAACTTGGGGTTAGGAGAGTCAATAAGTATTGTTCTCTGTTATTACCCAGAGCTAATTGCAGGCGTTGGTGGTCTCTGCATGTGTTCACATGTATCCCTCACATACTTCCATTTTTTTCCAAACGCATTTTCCTTTAAAAGAAATAACAGGAGGCAACTTCTTCCTTCTCAGAGAAGTCCCCTTTCTCATCTTCCAGATGAGAGTGTGAATGTGGTTGTAGATTCTTTTCCTCCAGTGAAGGAATTATTGACTGACTTCCTGATGACTCAGTATTCTGCAAGACAAAGGGTAGTCTTAACTGTGGAGACATTGTGCAAAATTGGTGGACAGCAAAGATTAAAGATGGATTAGAAATGTGAACATTGCCAGTGGAGAGCTGAATTCAGTACTTAAAATTATCTAGAAAGTACCTGTCAGAGAAAGAGGAGATCTGTGTGAGTTGGAGCCTTTGAGAAGTTTGTGTTATCTTTTTTATTTTTTTATGGGAAAGAAGAGAATGTTATAGCTAGAAGAGTATTGTGAAAACCTTTGAAAAGAATCTTTTTTAATGTAGCAATCTTTTCATTCAGTTGTTCGTCCACGGTTTACTGCATTACCTCCCAGTGGCTGGTGTACTGCTTGAGTGTCGCTGTTTGATTCTGATTGGTGTGGACGTGCTGTCGCCATAGTTACACTGTGAACTTTCAAGGCCAGGATCACATCTTCTCCTTGTTACATTTTAATGTTTTGCCCACAGAATTTCTTATGCAGAGTCAAGTTAACTTTTTACTTTTAGGGTAAGGATCTTTAAGTAAATCCAAGGTTTTAATGAGCTGTGTTGCGGACCTCTAAAAGAAATATTCTGAATATGTCTCCAATCTTATTTAAAATAGATTTTATGCCAATAACCTTATTTTGCAAGTATTACCTGCAAAATAAGATATTTTTTGCCTATAAGGAAAACTATCTTTTAAGTCAACAAAAGTTTAATGGTCAGAAGAATTATAGTAATATCAAGTGCTTTCTATAGTTATATAATTTTATAATATAGTTTTCAAGTTGTGATAAAACATAACTGTTTCATTTTCCCCCCAGAGTTCCATTTTGGTGGCTGTTTATAGAGAAGTACACTGAACATTGAAAAAAACATGTTAGACACTATAGGTAAGACCTATTACTTTCTGACTATTTTTAATAAGAATTGAAAGTCCTTCCAGGGGAATCTTTGAAATATGGTATGTTCTAAGTAGCAGGAGTCTGTTGTAGCTTAGTTTTTAAAAGTTTTTATCCACTAGCATTAAACTAATGTAATGTGTTTCTATATCTGCACAGTTTCATCTGAAGTGTTATAAAAATATCATTTATAGCAAAAGTTAAAAACAAATGCAATGTTTTACTAATTATGGGTTTTATGTTTAAATGTAAACCCAATTCTTACGTACAAACCTAATGGTGGCTTTTTATTCTGAGATACTGTGGGAAATAGGACCCAGGATAAAGTTTTCATCTGTATCTTTATTATAATTTGCTTTTAAATTTCTGCATATGAGTAAATATTGTTTGTTTAAATTTGTGTGTGTTTGTGAACTCATGGTCAACATTAATTCATATCCCAATTTCTGTGTAATTCCCCATTGCATGTTATAGAAAGTGCCTATGGTGATCATTAATTCTCACTGTGTTTGAGTACTATGATATGGCAAATATATTTGAATATATAATATATAATCTCTCAGGGTATTAACTGAACAGGCTCCATTTAAAAAGTAAATTTGGCTTCAGTTCTAAGGAAGAGAGATAGCAGAGGAGGGAGGGAGTGTGTGTGTGTGTGCAAATACATGTCCGTAGGGAGATGTTTTTCATTATTTTTGGTAGAAATCATTATCTGGCGGAACATGTAACATGCTTGGATTTTTACTATTGTATTATATATTTTGCAGAATTGTGTCTGGTAAATTGTGGTCAATTAATATTTGAATTATAATGATAAATTATATATGTAAATTTGTTGTTTAAATTTTGGGGGAAACTAAAAGTATTAAAAAGTTGCGCTTTTGAAGCGATATATGCATTACTGTGATGTATTTGCAGGTAAATTTTCACATATAGGATGATTTTCTTTTCAATCTATGGCATTGTCATATTTTGGATGTTATGACTATCCACATTCACTTTCTAATTTCTAATTTTTCTAACTTATATTTATATTTGTGAGTTATATTTCTAATTTTTCTTACATGTAAATAATTTTTAACAGGTGAAAATATCAGCATTTGCAAGAATACTGAACATTTAGTCTTCAATAGATTTTATTAAAGTAGAAATAGCTGGGGTTAGAACTGAAATATACTTTATCTGAATTAGTTTCTGTACTTTAAAATTAGTTGCATGTATCATATACTATATTCAGTTTTCTGCTTTCAAACAAACTTTCTTACAAGAAACTTCAAGTTTGAGGGACATATTTATAGTGACATGTTTTAGTCCCTCCTTTTTTTTTTCCTAAGTCAATTTTATGCTTTCAAAAAAAGTTCTGGGATTTCTATAAGCATGGGTTGGTGTATGTGTTTGACTCCCGTTACTGATTGATGCTGCCCTTTGGTATAGACAAAACCCGGGCCCTGCAGGCTGCAGAGCGCTTGCAAGCCAAGCTGCGAGAGCGTGGGGATGTGGCCAATGAAGACAAACTGAACCTTCTAAAGTCAGTCTTGCAGAGCCCACTCTTCAGTCAGATTCTGAGCCTTCAGACTTCTGTGCAGCAGCTGAAAGACCAGGTAGGACATCACTCACCCAAAGCAGGCATTCACAGCTTGGCATAGATCTTGTGAAAGGCTGGCGTTTTTCTGAAAGCCTGATTTTTGTATGTGTGAATGAATAGTTAATGAAGTCATTTAAACCTCCAAAGGAGACATTCAGATTCACCGTGGCTTCTTCCCCCTTAGTTATTTTTGTAATGGTTGTTGCTGTATATTGGAGATGATATGACATGGTGTTGAAGGTTGTGTGAAGGCTAACGAAGGAGCCCCTACAGGAGAAAGGGATAATAAAATATGTGTAGAGTGGGTGGCTACAGACTTGGTTTCCACCATCACCAGAGCTCATTGTTCATGTGGTCTTGCTCATTCAGATTCAGACCTTCGGTACACTTAAAAGATTCAGATAAGCCTGGATTTGCATGTGTAATCGTGTGTGAAAAAGGGAAATCACCTCCATTTTAACAGTAAAAGGAATAATTACACTGTCATCAGTTAGAGGAATTGCAGTTCTCACTTCTTAGAGGAGTGTAAGTAGCCATCCCTTCCATGACAGCATCAGATGGTGACAAACACTAGAACTTCTAAATGTAACAGTTTTCTCTGTAAAAAATCATGAGCATTAAAAAGCCCTAGCATCTATATTAAAACTGAAATATATCACAATGACAGAATGAAAATTGAAGTCAGTTCTTTGAATTTACTAATTAAATCACCATTTCTCAGTTTTTTAAAAAAATATTTAAGTGGTTTTTTTTTGTCCTCACTCGACATTCTCTCATTGCGTTTAGAAAGAGAGGAAGGGGAGAGAGAGACACAGATGCAAGAAAAAGCACTGATTGGCTGCCTCCTGTTTGTGCCCAGATGGGGCCGAGGATGCACCCTGACCAGAAGTTTAACCCACAACCTTATGGTTATGGGATGACACTCCAACCAACTGAGCCACAAGGACCAGGGCAAAAAAAAATTTTTTAATTGGTTGTTACCCTCCCAAGGTTGGAAGTCAGTTTATGTCTTCAGTCCAAGTTAATTCCCATTCTAATATTTTTAGCATTAATTTAATGGTATTGGATGACTTGTACCATATATTCTGTATTAAAAGGTTAAAAATGAAACTTAAGACTAGTTTTATAATTCAGTGAAAGAACAGCTCCAATGAAAAATACTTCAAATGTGTGCCTAGTGCAGAAAAAAATAGTAGCAACGTCATGAAACTTCTTAATCTAGATAAGTTGTTAGCCAAAAAATTAAATGAAGAAGAATCTTTAAAAATATTTTTCTCTAGTGAATTTCTACTTAATGATTTAAAATGATCATCATGAATTATGAAAAAGAGGTGTTTCATTATATGTAGTTGTATTTGTCCCCATTGCAAGTTATTGAAAACATTGGTTTTAGATGCTCATTTTTAGAATGGATGGGCAAGATTTTGGAGAAACCAGTATCATGACTATAAATGTGATTATGATATGAAAAACTGGTTTTTCAGAGGCTGTGAGGTTGAGCAGGTGCCTTCTCCCCTTGTGTTATGAGGATATGATTAGAATGAGAGAAAAATTTGAAACAGAAAGTACTAGTACATACATCAGGAAATACCACTAGTCCAGTGAGGAAACTGTAAAAATGACCCCTTGTGGTCTTCCTGATGCAAGTGGATCCCAGTAGCATTTGCACTTGCCAGGGCTGCCCAAGGGAGGGGATAGAAGGGCCTACCTGTTGCTGAGCTGGTTTTACCATTTCCAAGTAGGGAATGGGCTCCAAAACTGTCTCGGGCCCGTGTGATTCAGCTGAAACCTCCTCGGAAATCTGTGATGCACAGTATCATTGTATGTCGCCCTCTGTGACTAGGTATGGTGTGGTGGTGTCTTTGTATTAATGATAGACAGATATATTTTAGGACTAAATAAACTGTGAGGTGGTGAATGCCATGGACATGTCTCACATGCCTTTGGACTTTTGGCTCTTAGGTCACCTGTTCAGGGACTGAAAGGGTCTGAGGACACCCTGTGACCCACACCTGCTTGTCATGACGACTAAAAGAGGACGAGTGACTAGAACTAGAACTCTTGGCCTTGCCAGGCACCGTCCTCTCCAGTTTCTGACTGTGCAGCCCGTCTCACATGACTTCTCCCTGAAAGGCAGAAACTTGGTCCTTAGCTGATAAAAGTTTAATTTTGGTTAAAATGACTCAGATGGTTTTTAACCTCCTGAGGTGACAACTTCAGGAAAGGTGACGACCTCCCAGTTGTTTTGATTCTTTACTTTAGTCTCCATTCTTTACTAATTTCATTCATTTATTGAACCAGATTTTTGTCTTGTATAACTACAGTTTCAGAAACTCGTATTAATTAAAGTTTAAACACAAATATTTCAAAGTTTGTTAGACTTAAATTCTCTATATAGTTTACCAACTGCTATCGTTTAATATTTAATTAATGCACCTAAGAAGTGAAATATTTTGTGCTTTTAAAACAATAACTACACAGATCTGATCAGCAGTGGCTAGCTTTTGTTTATTACCTTATACCTAGATTATGTTTTCAGATGTATAATTTTATATGCACAGTAGGTGCTAGTTACTGTCTCCATCTTTGTTAGTATTATTAGTATATTTGGCCCCTCTGATTTTTTTCCACCATAATTTTGTCTTTTAAAGAGCAAAGGCAGAGAATAATTGAAAAACTCAAGGTATATGCAGCATATTGGAGAACATGATCATGTAGTTGCTTTAATGACAGATGCTGACATGCCATGTTGAATTAAGCCTACTATTTTTCCCCTCAGATCCTCCTCATTATGTCTATTCAATAATGTTTAATTTTTCTAATTTGCTTCTTCAGTATTAAGACTGCTCTTAGATATCAAACTGTTTCCCTTTGGAAAATTAAACACTTGACAGGTGTGTAACTGAGAGGGCAAAGAAAAGCCATGCCCTGAAGGGATGTGCTATTTAAATATTGTCAGAAATATTAACAGGACTGAGAGTATAATTGATGCCTCTGTTTAACTCTGCCACATTGTGCATTGTTCTAACCACCAGCTAAAAGGATGTGTGCTATTAAACCTGAATAATCTCTAAATAGCTCCAGTTTATTTCCTACTGCATGATTCCTGTTAAATGAAGAGAAGGGAAAAAAAAAGAAATGTGACTATGTGTCAATGATCTGTCAAGTGCAAATTCTCCAGTAGTGTCCTCCCTGTCACCTAGCCATCACAGCTATTAACTGCAGGGCTCAATGCGTATTCATGACAAAAATCCAGCCATTGAGGGGCAAATAAACACGTTAGCAGTTTCATAATAGAAACTTGTCAGCCATGAGGAAATTGGATTTGCATATTTATTCTATGACGCTTCTCCAGTCCCGTATAGGTGTATGCTACTTTCTTGATGATTTAATTGCCCTTGCCTTATGAATTGACCACAGGCACTAATGAAACATCATTTTACCCTGAGTCAGTTGTAAGAAAACTGTGGATTAAAATTATTTATTACATTAGAATTTCGGGACTAATATTTGAAAATTTGTATTGCTGGTCTTTCTTTTCTTTTTTTTCTTTCTTTTTTTCTTTCTTTCTTTTCCCTCCCTCCCTCCCTCCCTCTCTCCCTCCCTCCCTCCCTCCCTTCCTTCCTTCCCAACAGAGATCAATTCTAAGATTGAAGAAAAGATGTGGGTAATTTAGGTTACAAGAACTGCTCATATGGGAAACAAGCCCTGAGGCACAATATTCAGAACACTCTCCTTCTAGTGATTTCCAAATTTTTTGGAGTGTCACACTCTTTTTTTGTTGTTTTTATTTGATATTTCCAGGCTCCTAGTTCATTCAGCTTTCTCCCAGAGAAGTCTAGATACACGCACACATACACACATGTCGTCTAGATGCATGCATTACACACACACAAAATTAAGTCAGATTTTCTCATGTTTTCCTTGTAAATTTTGACATTTCTTGAAATAATTGGAGAGATACTGATTTAACATAAAATGAAGTTGGAAATTACTTGAAGATCATCAGGTTCAGTGTTGATGAATATTATATTTTTTATTTTTACTTTTGAAATACAGTCTTCATAGTATGAAATTTTGATTTATATATCTGCTTATAAGTTTTACCTTAGTTTGGTTTCTAAGTTTAATCTGAGTTTGGTTTATATTTCTGTGTCTCTAAGTGTGTTACTGTTCACATTCCAAAAAGTATTTGACACAACCTCTGATGGTAAAATACATTGATTCATAGTTGATTCAAAGATAAATCTAAACAAATGTCAAACAAAAATATAAGAACTATATTTTTCCAGCACCTTGGGTTACTAAAATTAATTATATCATTTAATTTCCATTACCCATGTGCAATTGCAAAACAACAGCAGAAAAACTGGGGGATTATGTATTGCTCAATGTGAGACATCATTCAGTGAGTCAGATTTTTGCTTGGCAGTGATTGGAGGATTATATCATGGATGCTTCATAGAAGCAGGCTCATGATCATTTATTAATAAAACTTTACTGAACACCTAAAATCAATAAAAATACAATGAATAAATAAGATAGAGGTTCTCACTATCCAGAGGGGGAAATAGAACATATATAAGCTTCTGTAATTAAATAGAAAAACAAGAAGGTGGATGGAGTGGGTGGAAGGAATTACTAACTTGGACTAGAAGAAAAACTCACACTGGAGATAACATGGGTCTTGAAAAATGGTTAGGAATTTCTGCAGAGGTGGGGGAAGTAATTTCAGGTAGTGGGAGCAACGTGTCCATGGGTACAGAACAGTTCTCAGCTGGGTGTGATTTTGCATTCTCCTGCCCTAGGAGACATTTGGCAATGTCTGGAGACATGCTCCATTGTCCCAGTTTGGGGTGGGAGAGGGCGTGCCGCTGACATGTAACAGATAGAGGCCGGCCGGGGTTGCTGCTAAACATCCTCAGTGCACACAGCAACCCTCCAAAACAATGAATGGGGTTTATAAAGTGTGCACTGAGCATCTGCGAAATAGTCACATATATACCTGTGTTATCA